GATCAGACATCTTGGCATTATTCTATGAAATCCCAATTCTGGAAGTTACATCAGAATCCCACCCAGTTAAAAGTTGATGATCTTGTCCCCACACCCACAATCCATCACATGGTCCAATCTTCTTCTTCCACGCTAGCACCTATGCCCAACTGCTTCCGATCAGGTGCAAAGGTGCGGAGACAAAAGATGATCTTGAGTTTCTAGAAAGGAATGAAAACAATACATTCCACAATCCTTCTATTCCCCCCTCCCATCAACTATACTAATGAAACAGCATAATGAAATAAGAGAAAGTGTGGCAGGCCAAAATTCTAAAAGGAATATAATTGCAGACCTGACACTATCATCTACTTTTTTAAAATGCCAATTTTCCTATAAACAAATTTTTGCAGTGTAACTTTACCTGATAGTGTCCAAAATGTTATTTTAGGAACTCTGCATCACCTGATTTTGTAGATGAATAGTAAAACTCCTAGGCGATTTGCACTGATGTTATGCTGGGTTTTGTTCCTGCTGCTTTGTCAGCCTTTGACGTTAACTGAAGTTAAAATCTGGAGAGGTTTTTTTTGTTGGTTGTTGTTTTTTAACTAATGTTTCTTCCTCTAGGGTGACTCTGGCCATGATGGCTCCCCAGGGACTACAGGAGAAAAGGTAAGATGAATGATCAAATCCCTGCAAATGAAGGACATCTGTGGTCAGCAATCTTTTTTCTTCCTCTGGTAAAAGTATGTCTCAGGAAGAGAAGTTATGACATCATAAAGGCCATGATGTCTCTGAGGTTGTTGAAACCATGGGGATGTCTTCATGGATCCAACAGTCTCAGAAATAGCATAGCCTTTATGATGTCACAGGTTCGCTTCCTGAGATCCTCCTTTGCCAAAGCAAAAATCTCTGCATAAACAGTTCCTTTAAAGTTTATAGGATGAAGAACTAACTTCAGAAATTAAATATTTACAATGTGATAAAATGTGAGATTGGGGAAAACAGAATAGGAAGCTAAAATATATCAAAGTATTTTTTGTCTTTTCCCACAGGGGCCCACTGGGCCACAGGGAGCCAATGGATTCCCAGGATCAAAGGGGCCGCCAGTAAGTAACCCACTGTTCCTTTTACAGAAATTTCTATTTAACTAGAGGTAAAGATCAATATTCCATAAAATAGTTGTGTATGAGAGAGCGGATTGTACTTTTTATTATTACAATCTACCTAATAAAAAATTACCATGTGAATTATGCATGGGGAGAATGCAAAGCCCAAGTTAAAAATAGATTGTGTATTCAAAGACTTAAATAATCAATAGACTTACTGTTCATTACAGGACACCTATAAGTAAATATACTGGTAGGTGCAGAATTTCAGTCTTGGTGGTATTATATTTTTACTTGCAAAATGAAGGAGCTTGGGTCTACTTTGCTGCAAACTGGTGGTTTGGATAATTGGTTGTTGACACAGTTGGGATTATAAGATTGGATATCTGCCTGCCTGGGACTAGAATTGCTTTTGTAAGGTATACAGGATACGTAAAAGTTCAGATACCTAAAAGATTACCACCAGTGTCAGATTTTGTAGAATCCAAAGAATGGCATTTGAGTTAAGGAAACATGTTTGAATCCTATTCCTTTATTATTTTGTTGCCATGGGCATTCATTTTGACCAAATTAGTTTTACCTAAAACATATTAATTGCATAAAGAAGATGAAATAGCATAAAAATGTGGGGCATATTTTTATCATAACAGTTTAATAGCTTGACATATTCTTTTAAAGCTGCCTGGAGGGGACCAGGTGGCAGAATTTATTATTAGATCTTCTTTAATCTTCTCTCCTTTTCAGAGCTATCTTATTCCCATCTCAGTGCCAGTAGGGGAGCTCTGGAGGGCAGTCATATTTCAATCTCTTCTCCCATGTTCATGATCAGAACACTTGAAAAAATTGTAATCCTTGTTTGCTATTTGAGTACATGTGATATAGATTTCACAAGCCCCAAATTTCCCAGGCCTTTTTTTATTAAATATATTGGAATCTTAAAACCATTTTATTAGGTCTAGCTCAGCATGGCTATCCATCTATACTGCATAGTGAAATACATTCATTTAAACAGTAGCACAATAGATTCTACAGAGCCATTGCAAATACATACATACATACATACATACATACATACATACATACATACATACATACATACATACATACATACATANAACTACTCAAAATTTCCACTATCGGTTTTCCAGAACCTGTCAGAACCTCCTGGATTTCACCCCTGATGTGAACCTTTTTTTGAAGGTGCCAACTGCGGTTTAAGCAAAATGGTTGTTCCCTCGTTTCTCAGAAACTATTTTGCAGTCTCTTCATGAGGAACAATTGTCAGGAGCTCTTGTGGGCAAACTTGAGTTCTCTCCTTGTCCAGAAAGGAACAAATGGGACTGCATTGCAGCCTGAATCTCGCTTCCACTTACAAAACGTAACTGCATCAGGATTTGGAGGACTGTCTGTCCTCTATCCCTTGACACATTTTATTGATTCATTTTATTTGCTACAGCAGTGCTTTTATTTGCTAATGCTCACACTTCAGCATGGATCACAGCAAGGGAGCACAGTCTGAGAAGCAGGATTACCCAATTACCAGCTGTTTTCACTGAAATGAATCTGAGAGAGAAATGGTTCTCTACTTTCAAATGTTCCTGTCGAACGTGACTTTCTAGTTTAGATTTAAAAGAATAATCAAGGTTTTTTTTTTTAATCTCATGGCACATTTGTTAGGAAAATTGCTAGCAGCCATAACCAAGGGATATAAAATAGACACTTGCCTTAATTTTAGGCAAATTTAATTGAACTTTATAGTTTAAGTGTCCAAATGTTTAGTATTTGGCAGATATGTTTATAACAGTGCTTAGCGTTTTATTGTGCATTTTGAATTTAAACATACTTTTTGGTTCTTCTGTTAATGGGCAATGGTGGACATTAAAGTCCAAACTAGAGGATATGTGAGATAAGGGAACATCTGAGCATCTCTCTGTAATGTCCCATTTAAGCCTGGTAACTCTGTTTATGTTGGCTCACTGAACTCCACCTTACCCTCCTTTTCTGTTTTCCTTCTTTTCAAGGGAAAAGCTGGCCAGGCAGGGCAGACTGGACAGCGTGGTCCTCCGGTGAGCTTTCATAGAATAGATGCTTATAAAGTCCCAAGTTTTCTCAAGAGAGACTTTATTTGATGCTTATCAACCAATATGTACGCTGGCTAGAAGAGATCCTGTGCTAAAATTTAACATTATCTCTCTCCACTTCCCGTAACTGAAGAACAAATTACAAGGATGCAAACATCATGATGAGAATATTGAGCAAGTGAAAAAGGGATATAATGAAAGTGCAGCACTCTAAGCCCATCATATTCCTTATATGATGTAGTGAATAGCTCTGGGGAGTTGCAGCATCTTTACTGCCTTTCTCAGGTCATATCAAGTGTTTGCAATATTGTTCTTGGCTCTGAATGGAGTATAGGAGGTCTTATATTTTCCGGAAACCCATTCTAAGGACACTGCTTCCTGTGAATTCAGTTATTTTAAAAATGACTTCTGATAATAGCAAGATACTAATGGCTTAAGTGAAGGGCAAAGAGAAGGCGCATCACCTTAATTTTGTAAAGTAATATGTGACTGACTCCATTAAAAATCATAGTTGTTGAACTGCCCGTGTTTGGGTGTCTGAAGGATGGGAGAAGTATCTCTTTGAATTTCACATATCTGGAGAGTGCTTTTTGGTTGCAACTCCCCTACCCTTCACAAAAATATGATGATTAAGCTGAATTTCCATTAATATTTCTTATCTCTCCCCTTTCTCCCATAATATGCCAATGAATATAGTAGCCACTTGGGGCATATCCATTACAAAGCTCAAATTAATTCAAAGAAATCTTAATTCAGATCTTCCAAATTTGAATTTGCTTGCAGAGATTTGAATGTATATTCTGATTTGTATGCCCTCACTCAGGGTTCTATTATTAATATTTCTATAGATGGAAAAATCAGGGAGAGGGGAGAAAGCACAAGAATGTGTTAAGATTAAATTGACTGTCCCAATGGGCTGCTCAAACCAGAAAGCAGCAAAAGAAAACTTCAGAGATATAAAAGTCATTGAAATAACACACACACACACACACACACACACACACACACACACACCATTAAATTTGGGGTTTGAACCCTTAATTTTCTTCCTTTTTGCACTGCATATTTCACTAGAATGAAATGAACCACATGATAGTTGTGAAAATGTGAAACCTTGCCTTTAAACTGGATTCATCTGTCTTCAGCCCATAGATAATTTCTCCAGCCTTGAATTTGTTTTCCTTATTGGTTCATTCTATAGGTAGATGACATGTGCATGTGGCTGGATCATTGCAAAAAACAGAGATGTTACTTGTAGTCTTATCTCTCTCTACTTCTATTTGGTACACAATTTCTGAAACAAGAGTTAGGGGATGCTGATTTCTGGGAAGCATCCAGGGCTTAGCTGCTTAATAAATATCCCATATACTAATGGTAATCCATTTCTATTCTGGGGATCTAGGAAGCCTGGCTCGGCTCCAGACTTCAGTTTATTAATACCAATCTGAAACTAATATCCTTTCCCATTTAGGGTATTCCTGGTGAACGTGGTTTGCCAGGACCTACAGGAAAACCGGGATCAAAGGTATGCCTGTTTTCCATATGATGTGTATGGCCTTCTACATTTCTCCATGCACAGTGCAGGATATGTATGTAAACAGCTGTGACGAGTGCACTCCCTAAAATGCAGAGTCTGTTCATCATTTGCTGTCTCAAATATTTTTAAAATTTGCTTATTCTTGGATTATGTCAAATGTATTTTTAAAATATACACTTGGGCATATATTGTAGGCCTGGCTGTCTTGATCCTTACCTACTTACCATTTTTTGCCAAATTATACAACTCCATTATTGACAACTGAAGCTGTCAATATGCATTAAATCAATCTACACAGGCAGCTATAGGTAACTAAATTACATTATACAAAAACATTGTAAAGATTGTGCACTTTTCATACAGAGTTGCATGATTTCATTTTTAAATGGTGCCACACTTTAAGACTAACACTATTGGCAAAACCATCTTAAAGCCCCCACAAACAGAACTAATAAAATACTAATTTCTTTGTCCGTTGGAATATTAGAATATTAGCATTAGTATGGGAGGGGCTGATAGATGTATCTTATTTATAAAATCTATCTGTCAACGTTTCAAGTATCATGTAGAATTAAATCAGAGTCCAAAGCAAAACGATACTTAAAGTTCCAATTTAATAGATCAGACATCTTGGCATTATGCTATGAAAT